CACAAAACAACTTTAACTCCTCAACTCATGCATTCATGTTGAGTACTATTCCAGTTGAGTAAGAGGTTTGATTCATGGGCTAGTGTTAAACTTATATGCTGGTACTTTGAATTATGGCAGCTTCTTCAATAATGAGGTTGCCCAGTTAAGACTGGGGCATTTACATTTCGTGTAAAATTGATATTAATGTGCAGGCCATATAAGCCTGAACTTTTTTCAGGCCTTATTTTCACTACCACTTAAGTAGTGCTCATTACTGTGAAGATCACTTTCATATTCACATCTTTATCCACAGTTCACATATTTATGATTTTCATATATTCACAGTTATTTATTCATCACTTCATGGGTTTATATGGAACCAAAGTAGTGATCAGCTCCCAGTTGACTTGCTAGCTAAGTTGGTAGAGCACTGCACTGGTTTTGCAGAGGTCATGGGTTAAAATCCAGTACAGGCCAAAATTTCTTTTTTCAGGCCTTATTTTCACTACTCAGTGCTCAAGTAGGTCTTTACTGCAAAGATTGCTTTCATATTCACATATTTGGAATTGAGGGTTGTATTGAAAATTATAAGCAATTTTAATATTTCAAATAACATTGGGTAATGGTAACCTCAAGCTGTCATAAGTAATATTCACAAGCAGTTGTTTTTGTACTAATCTTGTTATTTAATAGAACTGACTATTTTAACCAGGCATTAACAAATCATTATTTACAAGGTCACATATTGTTCTTACAATGAAATATCCATTATAAATGCTTTGGTTCAAACTTATGTGTTCTTAAAGATACTTTTAACTTTGTGTTTAGGTATGGTTAAGTGTAATTATAAAACATGGTAACAATAACATATACCTAGATAATTGTAGACCTGTATTTTACATGTCCAATTTTGTCTCAGATTATATAAATTAATTAAGCATCTAGAACTGTAATAAAAGCTCTTTAGATTGGCACTCACTCATTCCACTTTGGCATATGGAGAAATTCTAGTAAAAGGTTAACTTAAAGGGTGCCTTATACCCTACTGTTGAAGTGGACTCATTTAAACCATGAATGCTTTTCACGTTTATTTGGTTTGATATCTTATGATTTGATTTTTTTAAAGTCTTATCGCCTCAAAACTTTTCCGCAGAGGGCTAAAAACGACCAATATTTATGTAAGTTAAATCTCCCAAAGCAAAATGGTTTGCGAATCACATTTACTTGGTTCTTGGTTATGATGTATTGGAGGACAGACGCATACATGATGTTACCATGACAACATTTTTGCTTCTTTAAAACAAATAAATTGCATGTCACCGTGGGTCTGTTCAGTAATAGATCACAGATGACGTTTAAATGTGGTAAGAACAACACAGTGGTAGATGAAGCACAGCTAGGTGTGTCTGATGTTCTTGGCACATTTTGACGTAATCTGTGATCTTTAACTGAACAAACCTACGAAATCATGGAAACTATTTGTGTTATATACTAAAGAAGCAAAATGTTGTCATGGTAACACCATGTATGCGTCTGCCCTCCAATACATCTTAACCAAGAAGCATGTAAAACACGTGTAAAATTCAGCCTATTATATCACTACATGTGGGTTCACCATGGTATATTTTTTTCCATTGAGGATCAACGCCCACGAGAAATTCTTCAATCTCGTCGAACGGAGAGTAAATTGACACTTTCACGATCAGGAAAAAAGTATATATACCTGTAAATTCCAGAAAATTTTCCTCATAAACCGATGGGAATGTTCTGATAAGAACTGACTTTTTCTCAAACTGAAATAAAAAATTCGATGAAAGAGACGTTTGGCCGAGATAAACTTCTAAAACCCTTTCTACCGTCTGTTCACGCGAATTTCTGTCTATTTCGAAAAATGAGCACATTATTCACATGGACTATCCTAAAGTTATTTTTCCCGGAAAGTAACGATCAAGATTTGATCTGATTTCCTTTGGTGTCGAGGGTCGCTATGTTTGCAACTGATAGGGAACGTCACATCTCTAAAGCGCTTATGTCACTTTGTACGGGTTTGTTATGAGTACTGTTTAGAAAACCAAGTCTAGAGCAAGCAGTAACGAAGTTAGCAATTTACTGAGTCTCGAAATAGCAAACTCAGAGTAATCAAGACATCCAATATGAACAAAGTTTTAAATTATAATTAGTCACTGATAACTCAAAGTAAGAATAGGCAAACTACCTAAACTACGAAAAGTATCTGAAGCCCTTACGTCACATCATGAGAGACTTCAATGATCTATTTGGAGATCCTCGCAGAAGTCTCTACATTCAAAGCTGTTAAAATTGCGAAATAATTTCACACGTACGCCCTCACGTCACATAATGAGAGACTTCAATAATCTATTTCGAGATTCTCGCAGGAGTCTCAACATTCAAAGCTGTTAAAATTGCGTAATAATTCCACACGTATGCGCAACCGTCTCGTCGTCAGTGCCTGGGGTACCTGTGATCCGGGACATGTTGAGGTCCTTCTGATCTTTTCGCCTTTGGTAATTCTTTGTCAAGTTTGTGACAAATTCTGCCCGTAAACCCAGCTTCGTCATCAATTTCTCATAACGAAATATAACTTCCTGCCGGAGACCTTCAATTAGTGTTACCTATTTGGTAAATATTTTTGCTAAAAAAAGCAATTTTTGGTTTTCCATATTTGGAGATTAGCAAAAAAACAACAATTTTCACTTCAGAGCCAAATTGGATGGCAGTAACACCTTTCTGACCACGCCTTTATCTTCTTTCTTCACCTACGTGCAGATGCTCTTACTGCAGACGAAAAGGAACGACGTGAGATGGAGCCATTTTTCAGAGAGTCGTTCAAACGGTTATGTAACCAAGAATTTTAGATCATGTCCCATGCTGTCCTGTCTTTTTTTACCTTTCCTTACTCAAGAAAAAAGTTTTTTGTTTTCGAAAAGTTATTTTCGTGATATTGGTTACGACATTGACCTCTTTGTGAGTGCCGACAGAAACTTTAGGGAGGGGCATCTTAACTCCAGGGACTTCTGTAATCAGCGTGGATTGGGTCGGCCGCAGTCAATCATCTTGTATCATTTCTCTTTATAAGCAGGGAACAAGTTGTTTTTGGTAAACATTACATCTACCTCACGTTAACGATAAGGTTCAAAATTTGACTAAGGCTAAACAGAAAGCCAAAATTGAATTTTTTTAGGATTTCCGAAAAGCAACCATGGCAAAGTTTACTCCAGTCACAAGTAAAGATTCAACGATTAAAGAAACTGGCGTTTCGGAAATCAGGAACTCGCAATCAGATCATGATTTGAGTCTTGAAGATGTACAGGTTGATCTTGAAGGTGGAAACATAAGGCAGAAAACCAAAGAAGAGAACCATACAGATCAGCCGAAAAATCACGAAGATGTGACAGCCAAGAGGATCGAAACTCATTCAAGTCGCACGGCGCGGGATAGATCGCAGCAGTACGAAGACAGAATGCCGTGGGTGACGAGACGTCGAGTCGGAATCGTTAAGGAAAGTGATGAAGTACTAGTGGAACGAAGGAAGGCAAGGATTTTGAGAAAGAGATTTGGAGAGGAATTGATTCACGAGACGCCGTCCATTTTCAACAAGAAACTCTAAAATATACTGGTTAAAACTAAACAAGATTCAGCGATAAACCCTTACTGATATGAGACGTGATCATTCATGAAAAATTATTTTGAGATACCTTGACTATTGTTTTATATATATATGTGTATGTATGTATATATATATTGTTAAATAAATCTTTACATTGTATCCTTTCGGATTGATAATCATCTCAGCCTCAAGCAACCCTATACTCCTTTCACTCAAAATCTGAAATGAGTAAGATATCAATATATAAGGTGTGGGGAAGAAATGTCATATGAAATAGCTTGTGATAGTATACTCTGATCGTCCGGGTGAGTGTAGTCCTGAAAAGCACCGTTTTCGGTAATGGTGACTGACATTTCGACAACCTGAGTGTCAGAGTCAGCTTGTCACTTTACTCTGATAATTACTTCTGCTCAAGTTGTTGAAACGTCAGTCGCCACCACCGAAAACAGTCCTTTTCAGGACTTCACTCACCCGGACGAACAGAGTACACTATCACATGTTACCCCTGGTTCAAACCATTTACCGTATGAAATGGCTTACTCTGTAAAGTTGAAGTAAGAGTTTCATTATCTCTTGGTTTCAAAAAGTTGAACGATGTAGATAGAATCCAGACCGAGATAGACCTCAGCTGATGATTGGACTGAGGGTTTGATACTTTTCCTTCCCTTGCCCTTACTCTATCCTCGCCACCATTGGTACTCCAAGTACCACGATTACCTTTGCGACCATCACTTCAGCTTCGGGTCTGATTACGATACTAACGAGTACACCTCCGTCTGACATTTGAAAGTACAGTTTTACTGAACAAAGATGACTCGCCAACATGACGTCTCCAGTTTAACTTTTGACGCTCCTGTCTTATATTTAAGGGGGGTTCCGAAGACCATTGACTAATTTCAGACATTTATCGTCAGATACTGGAAAGGACAGCTTTACCTACTAGGAGAATCTATGGAGTAGGTTTGAGTAAGGACCATTTTCAAAAACCCTCTACCGAATTCAGCAGATTATTACAAACATTTGGGCCTGACTATTCAGTATTTCCTGCCACGTCTAACAGATCAATGTTTCATTTCGTGTCTTGCTGTTTCATTAACAATGTGTTGTGTATTTAATACCCCTAAAACAGTGGAGACAACAATTCGTTCCTTGCTTTTTAAACAATTTGTTCTTCTAATTCGACCAGATGATTAGTTAACTATGTCAGAGGTTTCAATAAAAGCGCTCACCGGCGGTCTACCGCTGCCCATAAGACCTCTTACCGCCGTTTGCTTGGCTTGTAACTAGCCTCTCTTGTAAGGGTTTTGCCTTACGGCCCCTTTTTCCTGCTCAGCCGTATATTACACTTTTGGTAGCCGCTTATGGAAAAAGTCAATGAAACTCCACTATATCCTATCAAACGTCGTTTTATTTAGCACCGATACTTTTAAATCAATCAGTTGGTTTCCGATGTCATAGTAAATGGACAATCAGATTGTGTGTATCTCAAATTTTGTTTCTTTGCTTCTTATCACCTTTTTATTTGAAAACGTGCGAATATTTCTGTTTGGTCACTCTGAGGAGTGAAAGGATTAATAATGTAGCCTAGTATGCTACTTTTTGAAGACAGTAATATGACTCTAAATGTTTGTTCTGCTCTGGCAACAACTAATTTTGAGCTTCCTGCCTGTTACCAATCTTTTCTCAACCATTCACATTTTACTTGATTTTGGTGATGAATTATTCTGATCTATCTCTTGATTCTCATCAGATTCAGAGGGTTCTGAGCACCGCAGCTCTGCATTCAGTAACTTTCCCCACAGACTACTGTAAGGGTGTGCGACTGTAGTCTTCCTTCCTCTGTTGTCTTCGAGGTCTTTACCCTCATTGGCCCATTTAAAGATTGAACCTTCCAAATTATAAATCCTAATCTTCGATTTTATTTCTTCATAAGCAGGCTTTCTCATTTCAGACAACAACTCCTGAGCAAGAGCGCTTGACCTGTAACCCACAGAACAGTAGCACACAACCTGAACACTGTCTTCAGATGATTTCTCTATAGTGAAAAAATATTTAGTGTATCAGATAGTGTTAGTGCTCATTTCTGGTTTTTGCTCACCTCTCTTAAAGTGGCTCCAGCTCCATTTTTCTCTGTAAATGTAAGATATTGGCAAAAACAAAATACTGGAACTTTTTAGATATTTAATTTCCAAACACAACTCGACAATTTCATATCGAATTATTTTTTCTCTCATTCTCTGTAGCACTGTCCCTTCTCCCCAGACACATGCTTCTTTTGTAAGTTTTGGTTTACTGCTCTGCCTCCAAGAAATCAATGCTGATTACTACTGCTGCATAAACATACTCTATACTTATTCAATCATCTAGTTATATATTTATTCATTTATTAATCTGTTTGTTTATCTATCTATCTATTTATTAATCTTTTACGTATGTATTGATTAAAACATATTGCTATTATTGGTATGGCAAGTAATGTAGTACTAAAAATATTGTAAAAAAAAGCTATTAACATGACAATTGCAATGCCAGTATTCCATGTAATTATTAGTGTTTGAATTAGTATTGTTAGCAGTGTAAACATTATTAGTTGAGCAAGTTTCTGTAAGCTGTAAAGTGAGTTTTTCAAGTTATGACAGTAATTGTTAGTAGAGTAAGTACTGTAAGTAATGAGTTTTTTAAGTAATGTTAGTATTGTATGTAATCATAATTGACAACACACACTTCAATAATAAACTGTCATTTATGCTAGACCTCACAGTCCACACACCACAGCAGGCCCTTGGTGGGTCATTGTGTTCTAACACTTAACCCTTACAGTGCTCTTTGCTACCCAGGAGTTTGCAGTAAACAATACTGAAATAGCATCCAAATACAGCATGGTCTCCTTGTCTCTTGATGCTACAAAAATCAGCAATGAGTAGCAAATGGCACCCTATCAGGGTACTCTAGCACCCTCCAAGGTAGAGAACACCAATGTAAGAAGACCCCCCCATAAAAACTGACCCCACCTTGATGAAAAACTAGACTTTTAGATCCTGTGTCTTAACCATCAGGTTGTGCAGGGGACCCAGTGGCTTGGTGGCTGTTGTGAGGAACTCCAGATTTAAAGCTCAGCTTTCAAGCTCTGCATAAGAACCTGTATTGTAACTTTGAGCAAGACACTTGGCTCTCAAGGTGCACTTCTCCAGCCAAGAGTATACATGCCTACTATTAAATTGTCAGGAGAGCCTGATGAAGTGTTGGGAAGTAATCCTCTGATGTACTAGAGGAGTAGGGAGGAAGGGAAAACAATAGTCCCAGAATAATCTCCACCAAAATGGGTTTCCTAACTCATGAGCTAATTTAACATTAGTTTTTCTTCCCCTGATTAATGGTCATAGGCAGAAAGATCTCTCCCTTGCTTACCTGTTTCACAAATAGTTTTCATGAGACTGTCCATGTCTTTTGTTGATGGGTCAACATGCCTGGCACTGCAAAGATGGCTAACTTGAAATTCCTTCTCTTCTCGAACATCCTTCAAAATAAAATAAAATCATCATTACTTAATAACTTGAGATTGGTTTCACTAAACCTGGGGCAAAAACAAATGTAGTCAGTAAATCAATCTTGAGTTTTAATAACAACCAGTTGCCCCTTGTTAACAGATGTCTGACAAACAGCCAATCATATATTTGCCTAATGGGTGTAATGAACTTCAACTCCTCGGCTTAGTCTCCTAGCCTCTTTTTGAGCCTGTGTTACTTTCTGTAGTTCAGGCAGCATCAGTATATTTTTAAGCTGATGCCTCTTGACTCATGCAGAAGAAAGAAGGACTAACCATAGCCTAAGGAGTTGGAAAATTAGTGATATTGTTTACACGTCCCACGCAATTTGGTAGAAAGCAATATGCCAGCAAAGAGGCCAATCAAGCCATTGCTTAATCCTGTCTCCATGATATGAAGCAACTGAATTAAGATAAGAGTATTGGATTGGATGAAGGTTACCCCCCCCACCCCCCCAACAAGCAGAGTGTTTGGTAACAGAACACAACACAATGACCTGAATCTGAACATCTCCAACCAGAGTCCAGTCATCAAACCCGTAAGGCCAACGTGAAATAAGTCCAATGAAAATTATACAATAAGCTCAGTTATGCACACATTCTGATTGGTTCTCACTTATGATCTATTGGAGGGCAGACGTATGGATGACGTCATCATTAAAACTTTTTTCCCGATTATTTAAATTTTTCATTATATAAAACAAATAGATTCCAAGTTGCCGTGCTTCTGTTCAGTAATCGACCACAGAGGACGTCAAAATGTGGTAAGAACATCAGTGACACGCTCGGTTGCACCTCGTGTGCCACTTTTTTGTTCTTACCATGTTTTGACGTCATCTGTGATCTATTACTGAACAGACACACAGCAACTTGGAATCTATTTGTTAATTATATAATAAGCTCAGTTATGCACACATTCTGATTGGTTCTCACTTATGATCTATTGGAGGACAGACGTATAGATGACGTCATCATTAAAACTTTTTTTTCCGTATATTTTAATTCTTTATTATATAAAACAAATAGATTCCAAGTTGCCGTGCTTCTGTTCAGTAATAGATCACAGAGGGCGTCAAAATGTGGTAAGAACATCAGTGACACACTCGGCTGCGCCTCGTATGCCACTTTTTTGTTCTTACCACGTTTTGACGTCATCTGTGATCTATTACTGAGCAGACGCACGGCAACTTGGAATCTATTTGTTAATTAGATAACTTTTAATACATGTATGTTTCACACGATCGAGCGAATACATGCAAAATCAGAGCAAGGTTTGGGAAAATACTAACCAACAAGACTAACTTCTGACTTGAACTGCCTTTTTTCATAAGCTGCCACAACTCTCCAGTTGAGATATACGGCACCCTAGGGAATCTCGCCTTCACTGTCTCTATAACTAATTTCATGGCCATGTTGTTGATCATGAATGTTCCTCATAACACACTATTGCCTTCTGGGAAATATTTTATAGCGCTCAGCCCCAGCCTCTCACTGTTGAATCGTGTTGTGAATAATAATGAGCTACTACACTTTGAGGTGTGTGATACTTATGCTATATTATGGCTTGGCTTATGTAATAGCTCAGCAGATAGAAACCGGTTTCTGCGAAGGAAGAAGCTGCCCAGAAGGTGAAGAACGAGCGGAGCAACAGGATCCGGAGCTTACACAAGAACCAGTTCATGCAAGTGGCATGGAGTGGCGCTCGCATGGAAATGACAACGATGATCTTGTTTCTAAGCTTAAGCGGAACAAAATCATCAAATCTCGACGAGTGGAGGACGCTATGAGAAAAGTAGATCGGGGAAACTACTGTAGTATCTCACCGTATATGGATTCTCCTCAGGCGATTGGATATGGCGTGACAATTAGTGCTCCTCATATGCACGCGCACGCTTTGGAGATGCTCAAAGACCATTTGTATGAAGGGGCTAAGGCTTTGGATGTGGGTTCAGGTATGATACAGAAATTCTATCTAATGCAGTCAGAATCTTCCAACAAGGGGGTTAGCTACTCCTTTACATGCTGCTTCCAATGAAGATGAAGTAATCTTTCACAAGCAAACTACCCTTCTAAGGAAAAATTTCTATTGAATTATGAAGCAAATCTGGGGGGTGGGGGGGGGGGGTTTAAAAGCAACTACTAAAATCTTTTTCCATAGAGTCTCAAAAATTTGAATGATGCCAGTAATTAAGTACTCAGTTTTTATTTGGAAAAACTTTCTATCAGCAACCATGTTGAATTTTGAGAGTAGGGTAAGATCTGTGACAAAAACAAATTTCTAACAAGTGGTGGCTTGGTAAATGATAACAAACTTGCAATACTAACTGGCTCACTGTAAATAAGACCCCCTTCAGTCCTTGGGCTGTATCTGTTGAAAAATATTTTATATATCATTCAATAAAATTCTTTGTTTCAGGTAGTGGCTACTTAACTGCATGTATGGCAGAGATGGTAGGAGAGAGTGGAAAAGTGATTGGTATTGACCATATTCCTGAACTTGTGGAGTTGTCTAAAAAAAATATAAAACAACAAAATTCAGATCTTATGACTAGTGGGAGGATAGTTCTTGTGATAGGGGATGGAAGAAGGGGATATGCAGATGGTAGGTAACCAAAATTATGGAAACAAATGTAACAATAATGGCTGTAAATATATGGGAGCTGGTCATTATGTTGGATCCAAATAAACCTTGTCAACTCAGTTGGAAGAGAGCTGCATGGGTATCATAGAGGTCATGGGTTCAAATCCCATATGGGCCTTAATTTTTTCAGGCCTTATTTCAAATACTAGTTCAGTAGTGTTGATAACTGCGAGGATTGATTCTTTAAATGTAACAATATTTCTGCATATGAAATGTTCTTATGCACCTGCCAATGTTGAAAATAAGAGTAATAAAGCAATGGACAAATTTCAACCTTGTTTTCTAGAATGATCCCCTTCTAGAGTTTATTCAGATCAATGAATTGTCCACACAGATTTTCCTTGGATTACTTTTAGAAACATCCAATCATCTATTTAGTTCCAAATTTGTCCATTGCCTCAAAATGAATTACTTCTCATTACTTAAAAACAGCTGGAGATATGTGAAACAACACAGACAGATGTTTGTGGGTCAGGGGAGAAAGTGGGAGTGGTCATGATCTAAAAATTTTGACCCATATCTCATTTATGGGATTTTTGCAGCTGCAGTAGCTAGAAGACAGACTTGCCCTATCGCTTCTGAATTAAGCATATAAATCATGAAAATAAGAGAGATGATAACCACCATAAAAAGCTGTTAATTTGTAAACAAATTCTTCTTGTCAGTACTATACAAAGTGTAAAGAAACATTGTGTAGAATGTGTGTACTGATGTAAGGGTGTTAAGATTCAAGGATTAACTGGATACATTTGTTTGTTTCAGATGCACCATATGATGCAATTCATGTGGGTGCTGCAGCTCACCCCATCCCTGATGCCCTCTTGGAACAACTGAAGCCTGGAGGCAGGCTTTTTATACCTGTAGGCCCCATCAGTGGTGACCAATGGCTTGAACAGATTGACAAGGACAAAGATGGAAATATAGTCCGGCAAAAGTTAATGGGTGTACGATATGTACCTTTAACAGACAGAGAACAACAACATAGACCTTGATCACAACATGTCTCCTTTCTGCAAATATTTTGATATGTAGGGTAATAAGGATGTAAATGTTTGAGATGAGATGGCAGTTCTTCATTGAATACTGCACGGTGCAGAACAAGTGATGGTTGCAGCTAGAACTTAAGGACTGCTGAACTATCAGATACCTCAGCAAAGGGTTGGGATAGGATGTGGTAATTCTGTTTAATACTAATATCCCATGATATTGTGTGGTAATTTGGATGGTTAGTTGTATTGTACAATAATCCAGCAGGAGACCTGTCACAAATCACTTCTTCTTCTTCTTCACTTATTTGCTTTGTTTTCCTGTCTTATAAGAAATGCACGCAAAATAATGTAATTGGGCAATAAATAACTTATGAGACGTCTTGATGTGTTGTATTGCTGAATATTTTTACTGTTTGTTTTTTTTTAAATGTATTTTGACTTGCCTTGCAGGCTTATCAAGATACATTATATTTTGTAAAATTACTCAGCAGTACTACACACCAAAATGCCTTATAAGATATGTGTATATGTGTAAAAACCAATGCAGGTTCCATCCTTTGCTCTCTCTCCACTTTTAAGTTGGTTGGAATGTGTGTTAGCTTTTACTCTTAAATTTTTGAGTCAGCTAAGCATGAATGCCTTATGCTTTAAGATTATATTCTCAGAACAGAAAGCATTAGCCTCTTATGGGACACAGTGCATAGAATTTGCAATTTCAATTTTGGGAGAGAAAGGGTTATCAAGCTTCCTCTGTGTAGCATCACCATGGGCACCAGTCTACAAATGTCCATCAGGAACATGGCAACTTGTATTGTGTTTAAATAATTTTCCCAAGATGGTGAAGAACAACAATTGCATTACAGATATACTTCAGAAAAATCAAGCAAATGTCCATATAGTGTCTATTAACTTTCATTTATTTTTTACAAATATCTAAACTACAAAGTTTACCAAAAAACCACAAACATACATGTTACTTGTGATCCTTGCTTCAAAGCAATAATCTCACAGACATAGTTGGACATTAACCTGCCTTTCCAAATTTCAAATACTAACTAAATTAATTTGCAATTTTAAGTGTAGCTTACATCAAACCTACAGCAACAGACAAAATTAACAGCTACCTCCACAAACATACCAGGTTACATTATAACACAACAAAAAATTGAACAACACACTTTATACTGTGCTTTTAACTGGTACAAAGGTATCACCTAAACAGCAAGATCATAAAATTTTTTGTGGTCTAAAAGCACGTTTTCTTTTTAATTTTTACAGATGTGCTAGTTCTGAAAGCTTATGCCCCCAATCATGCCTAAACCCTGTTCAACTCAGTCCTCAGGTTCTGGTAGAAAATATTGTGTAGCCCAAGTGCCTTCAATTCCTTCTACTCTGACAACACAATAAAAATTTTGTGAAAGTATGTCATCACTGTCATCATCTAATTCTCTGATGTCATATGCCTTGTCATATTTGATCTCCAAAACATCAACCTGGTGAATAAAGAACAACAGTCCACTGAGTGAGTACAAAGAAAACTATTCAAAGAACTATAATGCCTTTTGAATGTCATTTTACCAGAACACTAATAAAGTTTATGATACACCTGGCAATAATATATACCCATTGCTACAAATTTGATTGCAAGCAAAAGTTAACAACAGTTTTTTATTAATAGTTAAGGAGCACACTTAAAAACGTTTTTACACTGGGTGTGGAAACCTTCCCTTCCCTCTTTATTCCTAGGACTCAATTTAAAAGCCATGTGATCGAATCAGGCAACCTGATTGGCTGCCTTTACTAGCAATTTACAGATGAGACAAGAAATAACAGTATTGGGTACCCTGGATGAACAATGTTAATGAATGAGACCTTGCACTCAGCAACTTACCTGTGTTGTATCATTGGTATCTCCTATCATGTCAAATTTTGTAATCTGAAGAACAGGTAGTTTCTTCTCCTCAAAATGTGCTTGAAAAGCTTCAGTGACATCAACCAATGTTTCCCTCATTTCTCCCATAAAACAGAGTTCCATTTTCTTGGGGCTGTCTTTTTTCCTTAAGACATAACCTGGAGTATCTGTAAAATTTCAAAAATAGTATTTCTAAGCCTGATGTATAATACAAAACCTTGTGTTAAGAATCATTTCTTGCACCCATGTATCTTCCATAATACAATTCCTAGCAAGCTGACAAGGCGAGTTTTTTTTTTTAACAATTAAGGGTTTCTTTTGTTAGTGATCATTTCACTTATTCTCCTGACCATAATGTGTGATTCAGGGATGATACTGAAGGAGAAATTAGAAACTAGTTTCTCTTAAAAGATCAAAGGGTCAAGAAGAGAAATTTTAGAGTAACCATATCACCATAATAAGTATTAGGTCATAACAATATTTCATGTGCACAGGGTGGTATTTCAGATCACTGCTAGGTCTCCAGAGTTAATATCAAACAGATCAGAACCCATCCTCTAATTCCTTTGAGTTCAAAATCGTTGGAAAAGTTTATCCTAATTTTAGCATCTCTTAATGTCTTGGTAAAGGTATTCTCAAGTTTATCTTAAACACAAATTTTGCTTTCCCCAATTTTAGATCTGTGTATTTGGATAATAACACATTAGGTGCTAAATCTTCAAACGGTATTACAGATGTTATCTGCTCTAAGTAACTAAGTCAAAGACTTAAAATTATATGATTGAAGCTTATGACGTCAGTGCAACGATCTAGCCACAGACTATTGGTAGATGCCACACAACAGAGTATTTCATCTTTAGTGCCTTCCTTAATCACATGCATATAAGTAAAGGATGATATTAATGAACTTACAAGACTAAGACAGCAAACAACTATTTTTCGCTTATCCGTCAAAGATATAAAGCTTTGAGATAGAATAACGCTTAATTCTTTGTACTTTGGCAACTTACAATCAAACGACTAGTTATTTGTTTATAAATTAAATTTGACATCAAGAATCCAAGCGGAAGTGGTTTAAAACACAAGTTTATCAGCTGTGCCGATAAAGAATAGCCAAAATAACCAAAAGATATGCCAAATCATGAGAGCGTTCCCAACTACAGAAAATTTTCCACGTGCTCCGCGTAAACCTGACAAAAGACGATTAGGAGACAAAAGGGGATTCAACAACACACAAGCTAAATCACGGAGAATTTCTTTTTTAGGTTACGTATCTGTCTAAACTTTTTTCTCCTAATAATGATCCGGCGGAAAACATTTATCTCGAAAACACGCTAAACTCGAGCTCAATATTTCAATCAAAATCCTGTAGTCGTGTTCCATCGCGCGCGACTGAACACGCGATTTGATCACGAAACGAGGGATAATAGCAATTTACGAAGCGCCGTGGAAAAATTTTGCAACCTTATCGGAAATTAAGACAAAAAATAGCTGAATAAATAGATAAAATACCTGACGTTGGTTCCTCCAAATCAGCCAGAATGCATTCAACTGTATCCGGTTCTTGTTCCTCATCTTCGACTTCTTCATCGTCTTCGTCGTCATCTTCGCCCTCTGCTCCTCCAGCGCCGTCATTTTCTTCCTCTTCCTCATCATCTTCATCACCTTCCTCGTCTCCTTCTTCATCTCCTACTCCTTCCCCTTCGTAATCTTCATCTTTGTCGTCGTCGTCCTCCTCATCCAGGTCATCTTCTTCGTCTTCATCGTCGCTCGCGCCTTCCTTAGCCGCTACTCGATCACGTGCTTCCACAGCAGCGCGCCGCTTCGCTCGAATATTATTTTCAACTTCTTCTGCCTCCTCCTCTTCTTCTTCACTCGAATGCTTACGCTTCCTTGGCATTTCTAGAATCGAAGAAGCACCTAGGGTGACGTTTGGAAGGAAAATGGGACGAAATAGGCTTGGAAACTGCCTCGAGGGCAAGGAACAAAGGCTGGAAGTAATTAAAGCGCGGAAAATGCCGCGTGGGGGAAATCAAGAAAATTTGAATCTGGACAAAGGACGCCAAATGGACTCCGGGATTAACGTTTCGGAACAATACTTTTTGCACATGTGCGTGAAACAAAGAGCAGTTGTTCATTGAGAAAAATTTAAGGTCAACTGATCCATAGATAAATAGCAAGGAATTGAGAAAGGAAAGAAAGGAGGGAGTGAATTTAGGATGAAGACGGTCGAGACCAAAAAAGTAACCTCAGTGAAGTCTGGGGCGATATATTTTCAACGGGTATTCTTTCTTTAAGTCAGGCATAGGAACTCTTGTGTCATGAGAGACAATTGTTGTGGGTCTTAACAGAAGGATAAGAGCTTTGCCAGCTGAGGAATAAAAGGTTTCATCGACTCTTCAGTTCAAGCAGATGTTTAGTCAGTAACTATTTGCATTTATCACAAGGCCGAAAGAGAAAAAACTGAGGGCGATAGAACCAAGGAAAATAAGAATTAATTAATTAAAGTTTCCTCCACTATATCGTTGTGGTCTTTGTAGTGTAGTGGTTATCACGTCCGCCTCACACGCGGAAGGTCGCAGGTTCGAGCCCTGCCAAAGACATATTTTTGTCTTCACATTTGAAGACAAATTGTTTTTAGCAAATTTTTTTAGTTGTTTTATTTTGTTTTGTTTTATTTTAGGTAAGATCAGGAGTAGTAAATTTTTTTTTTAAATTGTTTTTTTTTTTTAATTGTTTTTTTTTAAATTGTTTTTTTTAAAAATTGTTTTTTTTTTTAATTGTTTTTTTTTAAATTTTTTTTTTATTGTATTAACCAAACTCACAGCTTCTATTGAAAAAAAATTGTAGGAAAAGCCGCAAATAGAGATATTAAACCAAAGATGACCAGCAGTGACACAGACAAAAGATGATGTCTTTCCAGCCCTAAAAGCAACTGGCTCGCGTTCTGAAACGACGCAAAAAATGGCCAGCGTGCACTATTTAAACGGAGTCTTTGAAGATTTCAATCATTTTTTCAATTTTACAGCCAGGGCATGATTCCAATCAACATTAGCATGAACATGTGGAGGTCATAATCCATACACCATCTTGAGGGCAAGTACACTCTGTTTAAAGCTTTTAAAGTCGATCCACAATACAGCAATGGAAGGTGTGTCTTTATTTTATGTCGACTACACATTAAGCTTGCTGAAGCGATATCGTAACCTTAAAGTAGTTAACAAACAACTGGTTCAATATATTTACGATATATAATGATGCAACTGCCTGTGTTTTCTTAGGCTAAATAAGGTGAAAGAACGTGCGATTTTGTAATAGTCACCTAATTTAGATGCATCACAATAGGAAGTTTTTCTGGACATGTGATTCTTGTAAAATACTACCTTACGCAGGGTAGCAGAAAAATACTTAGAATGTGTCAGTTGATCGTTGATCACTGATCGTTGTGTTACGGCCGTTGAATATGTTATAATTGTATACCGCAATACATTGTTGGTTTGGATTAAATCCTGTTGTAACATCGAAAGATACAGTCCTCTTGATTTAGTTGAACCAGCGAGCGGGGATATAAAAACTCGGCAAGAAAAAAGAATCGGTGTAGGGAAAAAGTGCATGACCTAAAAGGGAATAAGATTAGATTAGTGAAAATCATCTTTAATCCTCCCAACAGATCAAATAATGAAATCTATCTTAAATATGGCCATCATCAAGAACAAAGTTCGTCTCATCGTCGTCGTGAAAGATTTTTCGTGAAAATTGTGTTTGTAGGAACATCGTTGCTTTCCTTTTTATGATGAAGGGACGTGTTGTCGAAAATTCTGTGTAGATGAATTCGTGGCTTCAAGTGATTAAGGGTGCGAATACTTGCCTTCACTTTGCGAGGAATTTACTTCCACTCTTCCTCGAGAAGTGGCCGCTTCCTACGTTTTGTTGTCCATGCACTTCTTTGAGATGTTTCTTAAGCCTTGGCATTCGGTCTGTCCTGAAACTTTCGCAAACAGGACATGCCAGAGGCTTGCTGTGGGACTGCATATGCTTGTAGCACCCGTCCCACGTTGGGAAAGCCTTCTGGCATGTCCTCAGACCGCAATGCCAAGGCTTAGATTGGCCTTCCCTGGTGGTATCGTGCCGATTCCAACCAGGGTGGCGCACCTCCTGCTGGTGGCTGATCATTGTCTTGCCGAGATCTGTTTGGAACCCACAACCTTCAAACGGGCACTCTACAGGTCCAGATAGCTTCATAGAGTAATCGAGGGGAGAAAATCTCCTTAGGGAAAGATCTTCCCCCCTCTCTGACTCCAACAAGAATTTCAAGTGGCCTAACATATTCAGTGGTTTTGTAAACCCCTAATAAGGAAAATGGACAAAACCAAATGGCCGTGAGTGTAACTAATAAAATTTTTAAGCGGGACTGATTAATGTGAAATTACGAAAAAGATGTCAATGCAAGCAAGAGAACATTTCAAATATGTTTGACTACTTACAAGTTTGTTTGGGTGCGGTGGTGGATTTTTCGCCCTGGCCTCATCGTGTTGTTTCGCGTTGTATGCGGAGGCAAAGCGAAACACAGCCTGTTGTTTCAGGGCTTTTATTTTAAATGTGAGGCCCTTCATTGTCATTCCTGGGAGCACAAAAGGAAATTGAAATTCACTATTTATCAAATGTGAGAATATAATATCAATGCAAAAATGAATTAAACTAAATCTTGGGGTCTGTGACTTTGACCACAATCGAAAACAATGATTCAAACAAGGGATCTATGTAAAGCACCTTTTCAGCACTTTCTCCTTTTTTCATTTTTTCAAGTTCTGTAGGAAAAAAAGAAAAGTTAAATTCACATATCGTCACATGTGATCAATTGGTTTATTACATGCAGAAAATTAAAAGTAATCACCTTTCTCTGCCTCCCCGATCGAAATGTTCAGACCAGTGTCTCTGAATTCGTGCGGGTATCCTGCAAAACCCTCTACGGCGTGGCAATCCTCCATTGTTTGGAGGTTTTTATCTACTCGGTAATTGAAGGCGGATTTTATATCTTCCAGGTAGGTTGCCCTGTTGTCTGGACGGAGGTCGCTGAAAATAACGAAGAGAATAGCTTTCACTTTTGTGCGGCCAAAAAAGATATTTTGTTTCAATTCTCATAGATAACAACCGAATTATGTCGCTTTCCAAACGAAACTTGCCACAAAGCTCATTTCTTTAACAAACCTTTTATTTCATCATTCATCAGAAATTATCTTTTATATATTTTGATTATCATTTCCCCCTTAATGCCGTAAACATTGCTTCGATTAATCGATATACTGAGTTTTCCAAAGGAAAAGATATGCTGGGATCCTTACCGATAGAGAAAGGAACTCGTGTCAAGGTGTTTTTCAAAAACATCCTTCACGTATAGTGACCACGTTCCACTTTTTTCGGACCAGCCGCCCAGACGGCACAGGGTGGCCACACTTTCCCTCGGAAAAGTACCATTATTCTTAATAGTTTCATTTATTATAAATGTCGTGGCCATACCCTGTTATAAAGATGAAAAACAGTAACTATAAGATCATTATCAAATGGACAACATTTGTTTAAAGGTAAAGTAATATGATATGAATGAAGAAAGAAGAAATTTCTTTTTTTAAACTAACCGATCTATTACAGTGATGCGTTAATTTCCGCACATCAAATCCTGCCTTAGCCACAAGGGTATTAAACGTGGCTGTAAGGCCTTGTAGTGGCTTGGTGTTCTGAGAGTAAAGGAAATATTGCGATTACACGAGATATACTGGACGGTAGTAGATTCTATTTTAACCATACACATCATCACTTGTGACATTTAAATTTAAAAGTATTGCGTGAAATTATTTTTCATCATGCGTCGACATGCATGGGTAGTGAGAGACTGTGGGCGGAGAAGACAGAAAATCCCTTGACTAGAATCTAGTGAACTATAAGAAAATAAAAAAAAAAATGAAAATATTTACATTGATTGCTCCACTAGACTGGTCTATCTCACAAAGGAGATACCATGACTTCGCGTCTTCTCGAAGACGGAAGTCACCACGCTCGTATGCTTCTTTAGCAGGCAGAATAAAGGCACCCCTTACGGCCAGGAACAAAAACCCCAAGGTTGCCGGGTCGTAAGGGGAACCTTTATGCAACGGGGTAAACGTAAAAGGTCTCCTGAAACATAAATAGGTCAAGAATTTTTAATACTTATTTTTTATATTTCAAAGGAAAACAAGAGCATAACAGAAATACATCTATACCATATAATTAAACAAGCCACCACCGGTCTGAGCCTGTGCCGATGCATTTGGTGCCGAATAAATTTTTTAAAATATAAGAAATAAGAAATATGTACATATTGAAGGGAATCGACAGCTATACCTGGCGCAGAAAATGAATATATGACTGTCGTTAAATAATTTTGTAATGAGTACCTGTACTCAACATTTCCACCGTCCTGTTTCTCCTTTTGAAACTCAATGGTGAGTTTCATGTGGTCATCGTCGTCTTTTCTGCATGAACGTAAGAACAATAGTCAAGTTGAATTATTGAATGTCAGGAAATAAAGACAGTACATTATCGAAGAAGGGAACTAACCCATTGTCCGAAACTGATTTAATCAAATTATCGTGACCCTGATATTTTATACTTACACAAAGGAAAGTTGGCTTATCCTCCTACTCCCTCACCGGAGGTGGACTACCGAGCTCCTCTAAGAGCTCGTTGGCCAAAGGCCTTCTTTTATTTCGGGTCAGCGACCCTTGCCGACATCCAGAGTGGAACGACGCCGAAATGATGAAGGCGACTAAGATTTAAAGATCGAAAAAATATGAGGTTTTGGACAGACTGAGACTGAGACTGTGTAGAACAAAGGGCAATTGGGCCAACGTGAGCATGAAGGATGAAAGAGTGCGAGGGCTTTCCCAGTGTTTCTGTTATGCGCCTGTAAAACAATCACAGTGATCATATCTTTACTCAAAAGTACTAGGAAATGAAATTTTGCTCACGCTGTAGCTGCTGAGGCGTGTCAATCCCGCAGGTGTCGATCAAGTGTTCGACATCCTGCGGGAACAGGTCCTCCTTCTTCATGTGAGTACCAATGCCCACGAACCTTCTCAAATAGGCCTGTGGAGAATAAGATTTCACATGGAATGCCAAAAGACCAAGAAAGCGATCGTAATATATATATATATATATATATATATGTTAAATGAAGAAAAATTCAGATAACACTACCTGTAGTGGCGGCACTCGCACAAGGCGCACTTGTTTCCTCTGTTTCGAACGTAAGTAAAGAGGTGGAAGGCGCTGTGGAGAATAAGAAGATTTCACATGGAATGCCAAAAGACCAAGAAAGCGAATGTAATATGTGTGTGTGTGTGTGTATATATATATATATATATATATATATACATTAAATGAAGAAAAATTCAGATCACACTACCTGAAGTGGTGGCACTCGCATTTATTTGCTCTGTTGTAAAGGTAGAGGGCGCTGTAGAGATTACGAAGGTAGTCTCGTTAGTAACAAATAAACTGATTGATTTAGCCAGGTCTCAAGTACAGCGCAATAACAAAATCACGAACAATAAACCGTCGGCTCTAAGTTTAAAGAGAGTTGTCTCATGAAGGAGCCACCTCAACCGGGTTAACAGATTCATAGTTGATTGAAACATTTTTTAACTCAGGAATACAGATTGGGCATCTAAAAGAGACTTCCTGAAAAGTAGTGGCCTAGAGCTGAGCTTTCAACATAAAATGGACTAAGGGAAAAAGTACTAGATTCCCAAAATCACCTGCTGTTTAACCCCCTCCCCCCCTCAAAGCCTTTGATTAGACAGGATGTTTGAATAACATTTTCCTGCAATGTAATTAGAGGAAAGCGAGGGAGGGGGTGGCTGTTGATGGGGCCATAACAAGACTTGGTTCTGGCTGGTTCTCATTTCTTTGGTGTCTCTGAAAAACTGATTTTGACTCTTGAAGAATGCAATCAAGATTACAAAATCCTTCCACAACTGAAAATTCAAACAGACCAACACCATGCAGTGAAAACAAATAAACAGTTTTGTTTGATTTGACATGTAGGATTTAATATAAATAACACTCTTTGATAATTATTGACAGCATTAAACAAGTCACATATTATAATTCAAATATTACAAATGAAGGCAATGCCTTTAAAAACCATAACACCAAAAAGTCATGAAGAAAACAATATTAAAGTTAATAAGTCCATTAATTAGGTTATTACACAATGTTTGGCCCTTGTACATTATTTTAACATTGCAATATTTAAACGCTTTCTTGTAAGCTGTATAATTTTTCAACCAAAGATAGTTGGGATATTTATATATTGGTTTAATTTTGATCCACCAAGAACAGTCTTTTGCCTTTACCTTGTGAACACAAAGGAGTAAGTACCATCAAACCAAATGAAAAAGGAAAAACTAATGAAGTCATGCTAATTAGCCCATGGAGTCTTTCTCTGCATTCCCTGTTCACAGATGAAAGGGAAGCTTGTGGAGATTTTTCAAACTCTGAATGCCACTGGGGCAGCTCAATTTATTAGAGTCGTGACAGCCCGGCAGATTCTAACCAATTATCATGATAAAAAACATACTCAAAGAAACTTCAAGTAGTATTTCACAATATAGCCAATACTGGATTCCATAAAAGTTTCAAGATTTAATAAATATCACATCATTTTCATTTCAATAGTTTTAGTGCAATGCAATACAGAGACTTTCTTGATCAAGGGTTCTGAACCTATCCAATTCTGGGATTTCATTATTCTCACCACCAATAAAAATTATCACCCAATATTTTGTAATGTCATTAATCAGCCGTAAAAAAGTTATATTCTATGTTACTGAAATGAGGGTATACTCTCAAAGTTATATCCTCTTTGTCCTTTAGTAGCTCTGTATATGTAAATTATGTGATATCCTGCAAAAAAAAAAAAAATCACAAATTTAGTAATACAGCGTTAAGGGCCCCAGAGTACAAAGTAAAGATGGAAGTGTAGGTATAAAGTTCATATCAGGGTTGAGGGCAATCACCAATTACCTCCAGGGAGAATGCAAATAGCAGCACAAACAAAAAATATCACAATCTTCATTCCTGGATAAGACAAACCAAAAAAATATTAGTTTCATTTGCCCATGATTGCACATCAAAAAATAACCATCAGTGGTAATATTAAGCAATCAGTGATCTTTCTGCCTACAGTAAAAGAGTAAATGAAAAGTTTCTTTTTCTTGTTCGACTTGGTCTGTTGGGATTTTTTACCATTGTAATAAGTTTTGTGTGTGTTCCTTTCGAATGATCAAGTTTAGAACCAATGATCAATTACAGATCATTCAGACCAAAGTGCATCCTTATTTTATGACAAGCTTGCAATGCATTGCCCTGTTTAAAGTGGTCCTTAAATAAAGTCTTATGGGGGG